GCATTTAAGAGTGTGGGCTCTAGGGTCGCCTGGGTGATTCAGTCGGTCAAGCATCTGCCTTAGGCTCCGGTCATGATCCCAGAGTCCTGGGATCAAGCCCCACACTGGGCTCCCTGCTCAGCAGAGAGCCTGCATCTCCCTCTCCCACTTCCCCCTGCTTGTGTTCCCTCTTTCTTTGTCAAATAAATAAATAAAATCTTTTAAATAAATAAGTAAATAAAATCAGATTTCTTTTCCTGTCCTTGTTATGCACTGTGAGCCAAATGATCTTTGGCAAATCACCTGCCTTTTGTAAGCCTCACTTTCTTCTAGAACCAGATAAGTAAGGTACCCTATAGGGTCATCCAGAGCTCTAAATGAGATAGAATGCATATAAAGCATTTAGAACAGTAACTTGCATACAGCAAGAGTTCAGTCTATCTTAGTTACTATTAATATCATTGATGGATACAAAAGAGCCAGTAATGGGGTGCCTGGGTGGCTGTTTTCGGCTCATGATTCCAGGGTCCTGGGGTCGAGTCCCACATCGGGCTCCCTGCTCTTGGAGAGCCTGCTTCTCCCTCTCCCTCTGCCTACAGCTCTTCCTACTTATACTCTCTCTCCGTCAAATAAATAAATAAAAATCTTAAAAAAAAAAAAAAAGCCAGTAAGTAGAACAAATGGAAATATGAGAAAACCAAGATTCAGATCAGATTCAATGATTAACAGAAGGTCATGTGAAAAAAAGTACACCTGCTTCTAGTGCAGATCTTTTCCCATAACCCCTCTTTAGCTTACTCATACTGACCGAGTCCACCCCAAAGACATGTTGCTTTATTTCCCATTGTGTTTCCAATTCTTGGCTGCTTGTTCGAGTATTTTCATCTTGGTTTTCTTTTTTAAAGACTTTATATGACAGAGAGAGCGAGGGAGAAAGAGAGACACACACAGAGCAAGCACAGGGAACGGCAGGCAGGGGAGAAGCAGGCTCCCTGCTGAGCAAGGAGCTGGACATGGGGCTCATACCTGAGCTAAAAGCAGTAACTTAACCAACTGAGCCACCCAGACGTCCCTCATCTTGGTTTTCATCCTATCAGAGTATTTCTCTTCATAAATTCTGCAGCCCTGTATTACTTGGGCTTTTAAGTTGTTAGCATGCATGACAGGCATCTATTTTTTAAGAAAGGAAGAAAGAATAGATACTGAAGCTAAGTTTTTCATAAAGGTTAGTTTTTTTTAACTTGTGATCTCATTAGCCTATTATTAATTTATATTTTACATGGCGCTGAATTATTTTTATAAAGCTACTTTATCTCCTCCAAATTGTCCCCTCTTTTTTCCCCCTGAAGGGAAAATCATATTGAACTTTTTCTTAGGAATTGAGAATGGAATTTGAGAATCACACAAATCCTCTGAGCCATTCTAAAAATAGGAAGAATACAATTTATGAATCATTGGATTATTTTTGAAACTCTTGAATGATTAAAATGTGTATGTATCCTTTTTTGGCATCAAAACCTTATTTATATCATATAAAGCACATAATATTTGCTGCATTACTCTGGAAATTTGAGGTAACTTGATCCTATAATGTATTTTGTGAAGGAATAGCATTTTGAACAAATTGTTTAATTCTGGAATTTGGGTATGTAGTACTGTCTATTAAATCATGTTCACACCAGTAGGTGTTCATCGAATGCTTTCTGCCTATAAGGTACTATGTAAGGTGGTAAGAAAGTGAGGCTCCCAAATCCTAACCTTTTCTTAGCTTCCTCAGTTCTGCCTTCATGGTGTTTTATATGACTATAGTGTTTAAAGTGAATTGATCTAAAAGCTGTGTTTATGGATGTCATGGATGTCAATATTGATACTGCTTGATTTCTTATTTCTTTTTCTTTATTTCTTTGCTTTCTCCGGAAAAGGGATGGCTGTGTCTATGGCTTTGGGGGTGTGTGTGTGTGTGTGTGTGTGTGTGTGTGTGTGTGTGTGTTTCCTATCCTTATCATTGTTTTACATTTTGTGTAGTTCCTTATCTTTGCCTTTTTGTTTTCCTCTTTGGAGTGTGTTTTGTGTATGTTTGTGTTTTTATACTCCTCTCCGGGAAGGAGGATTTTGTGAGGTAGGCTATAGAGGTAGACTCAGGCTGGTAGAGGATTGATATTAAGAGAATTGGAAAACATGGCTCTTGTCTTTTAAGAAATGTATACTCAATAGTAGAGAGAAACAAATATAAATATGTGAAATATAACTCAAGAAAAATAATGCTTCAATATATTTAGTATATGATTACTGCTATATAAATAAGAGAATATATTTTGGCATTCAGACTAAGTAAAAACTTGCTTTAGGCCAGGTTAAGAATCATTTTATAGTACTGGTAGAGTTTGGTCTCGATCTTGAAGCATGGGTAGGATCTAAATAACTCAAGAAGACAATATAGGGTTCTTGGAAAGATTATCAATCTTTTTTACAGTTTCATCGTGGGGAAAATGTTTCACCCATTAAAATATTGCTATGTCTGGGGTTGCTATAAAATATGGTGTGTGATTCACATGTTTGAACAACTGCAGCCCATGCACAAACAAGGGAACGTGTATGATGCTTTATAAGAATTAATTAGTTGGGGCGCCTGGGTGGCTCAGTGGGTTAAAGCCTCTGCCTTCGGCTCAGGTCATGATCCCGGGGTCCTGGGATTGAGCCCCGCATTGGGCTCTCTGCTCAGCGGGGAGCCTGTTCCCTTCCTCTCTCTCTGCCTGCCTCTCTGCCTACTTGTGATCTCTCTCTGTCAAATAAATAAATAAAAATCTTTTAAAAAAATTAAGTAGTTTTATGTCCTTAAATGTTTGTGAAATCACGTATCTGCTTTTATTTTCCACTTCATGTCACACTGAATGTCAGTACTTTTTACAACATGAAATTGATTTCTAAGATCAAAACTTTTTATATGAAGTAAGAATTTGTCCTATTCTTCCCATCTTTTTCCAGGAATTAGATGTTAAATCAAGTATTTCCTGCCCTGTTCTGTGTCAGGGCCGTACAGGAAACCATTGCAGTTGGCAGATGAGAGGTAATGGACTGCTTGAGGAGGATAATGGTGGGGCGGACAGTGATGAGATAAATGTGTGGGATGATTTTCAAGGTAGGGTTTATTGGCTAGTTGCATCTTGTCCTTTGACTTTCTTTAATCAAAGATGATTCTGAGATGCTGAGCCCAGATGACTAAGAAGATTATGTAGAAGAATACAGGTACTTGAGTTATATTTTGGGTATATTGAATTTGAAGTTTTGGTAGCATGTTCAGGGATAGTGGTCTAGACAGACGTTAGAAATATGAGGTTGAAATTTTGAAGAGAGATCAGGTTTGACGGTAAAATCTAGGAGTTCACGTAGAGGTGATAATTTATGTTGCATGGGGAAGAGAGGAAAGAACAAGTATGAGAAATTCAATTTTGGTTATCATGGTTAGCAGCAAAAATTTCAATAATTACTAATCAGTTAAAGCATCTGTCTGTTTAGACTTTGTAGGTAAGCCCTGAATGATTTTTTTTATTCCATTCTCTAATTTTTGGACCTCTTGCTAGATGGCAATAGTAGTTAATTCCAAGGGCAAGGAAGGCAAGTATTGAAAGAGTTTGATAGCATAAGCCTAAGCTAAACATTTTCATGTGTTTAGTAAACTTACAGTCGACAGTACTTTATTTCCAATCCTTTTTATCCTTCACGTCAGATCTATAAAGTAAGTGTGAATTTTTTTTCTCTTAATATCCGGCTTTTGCAGGATGGTTCAAGAATTATTCCTTTTGTTGGTTATTTCTCTATTATCAGGATCTTTTACTGTGTTCAGAAGAGAGGAAATGAATTTAGAATTTAACTAGATTCTGATCTTCCCATGATATGGCACAAAGTAGTTAAGAGAGCTTGTCTGTTCTACTGTATCTTTACACAAGTATAAAGCTATAAATATTTATGTTCAAGGGTTTTGCCATTTTGATTTCAATTTCAACAGATCCCTTTTGGACATTCACCGAATTTGGAGGTATTAAACAGTGAATCTACTTTAGAATATAAAGGAAAGTATCTTTAACTATCAATTTATAAATTCTTATAAAATATTGCCTGATTGTGTGAGATATGTTGATGTGATTGCAAGATATCCAGTGTCGGGGTAACACTGGTTAACAGTGGAAATTTAAAGAATTATTAATATATTAAAGCATCCTTTTTTTTTTTTTTTTTTTGCATCTTTCTGTTTGGTGACTTTTTTGAGGAATAATTCATACTGTGAATTCACTTTAGATATATCTAGTCTGTCTCCCCTCCCTCCCACCTTGTGTGTGCGTGCCCTTGTGTGTATACATTCTAAATCTCACTTACCATGATTAACAGCATGAGTATGTGCATATGCATGTATACGTATATATACATAATCACTCTGTGTGTGTATGAGTGATTATGTATATATGTATACATATATGTATATGTGAACATATATACATATATATACATATATATATACATACACACACACACACACACACACACGTATATAGATAGATAATAGAATTTATACCTAATAGTTTATTCTACTGATTTATCATTTGACACCATTGCATTTCTTCGAAATTCCCTGTACTGGCACTTACTGTTCTTTTGTACCAGGCATCATTTTGAGCACTTACCATGTAGTAATTAAATTACTTCTTTTAACAACCCTCTGATGTGCAACTGTTACCCCTGTTTGAAAAATAGGAAGCTGAAAGACATAGCTAGTGACACCAGAATTTGAACTTGAGCATATATCCATTCTTTTAACTACCATGCAAGACCTATTTCTGTAAGCTTCTGTTGCCTAATCTAAAAAGCAATAACAAAAAGATTATCTTTTAGGGTCACTGGTAGGGTTAACTGAAGCAATGCATGTGATACAAAAATCTATATATTAATGATCATTTAACATAAGCTGTTGTCTGGCCACTTTTCTGAAATTCTTCTAGTTCTTTTTTTCCTTTGTCTCTTTTATAGTTCATTCTTATTCTGCCCATTTTTTGAACACTGGTATTATTCTAGGGTTCCATTTTTGGCTTGCTGTTTTATATCATTCTATATAATTTCCCTTCAGTAGGTTTATCCACTTTCCTAGTTTTTAACTACTGCCTGCTACCTGTAATCTGATGAGCCAATTGTATACATTCCCCCTGAGCTGTAGACTAATGTATCCAAATATCTGCTGTATATCCAGCTTCTGGCATCCCCACATGTCCTTCAGGCTTGAGATGGATAAAACAGTGGAAAAATTTTAATATAAAATGGAACCAAAGGATATGAAGTGGAGAACCTCATACATGTGCCCTCAGAAAAATGAAACTTAAAGACTGAGACTGATTTCTCATAAATGCTTGATTTATAGAGGATTGAACTTTATCTTCTGACTGACGAGCATCCACCAAGAATCTCTCTCATCTTCACACTTGCCGCTTGGCTCCTAGCTGGACTTTCTCCTTTTGTGCTCCTTGCCCATAAAAGCAAACCAAGCTGAACCTTCAGCAGACTCTCCTATAGCTTGCTGCAGTTGGCCTATCCCAAGCTGCAATTCATCAACTATTGCTCAATAAACTTGATTTTTGGTAACTCGAGGTTGTCTTAGTTTATCTCTTTTCTCTTAGATAGACATTACATGGTATCGAAAGTGGGATCTGAAGGAGGTGACCACCAAGGAATACCAACGTCCAGAAATAAGTGAGTTTCCTGCACTTGAGCCCTTTGCACTCTTTGTTTCTGCAAATAAGGTAATTTTTCAGTTTGGCAAATTTCCTCTTAGGTCTTGAGTTCCCTCCTTTGGTGGAGCTCTCTGACTTTATTTGTGATCTGGATTAGAACAGATTGTCCTTCTGGTATGTACTCTTATTTCTGATAAAGGGATCCCGGTTATCAGAATTTTCTAAGGGTGGCCCTACCCCTTCAGGAACACTGGCTGGTTTTATGTTAAAAAATTACAGTCCTGGGGCTCCTGGTTGGCTCAGTTGGTTGAGCACCTGCCTTGGGCTTAGGTCATGATCTCAGGGTCCTGGGATTGGGCCCTGCATCGGGCTTCCCCCTTGGCAGGGAGTCTGCTTCTCCCTCTGCACGCCCCATGCATGTTCTCTCTCTCTCAGATAAATAAATAAAATATTTTAAAATTACAGTCCTTCCTCACACACGTTTGACTAAGTAAACCAGTCTTGCTAAGGATAACCTAGAAGTCCAGTGACCATTATGTGGAAACTTTGATTTCCCCATACTTATTTTTCTCTAAGTTAGAAGACCATGGCTTTACTATCGAACAATCCAAATGGGATAGTTATTTTAATTGCTCTCTGGAAGCTTCTAAATGTGTTTAGGATTCTAAAATTGCCTCTTTACAAATACTGTTTCTAAATTGACTGAAGAAAATAAACAACTAACATATTAAAAAACACCAGGGACCTCTTCCTTGGGGTAACCAAGGTTTTCCCTAGCCCTACTACTCCACCTCCCTATATTCCCCTTTACCTCTCTTAACATTTCTCCTCTCTCTGAACTTCCTTTCTTTCCTATTATTGAAAACCCATCCACTGATCCCATTAAAACCTTCCCTTTCAAAATTAAACTGGAGGATCCTTCTAAACTACCCCAGATTTCCTACATCCCATTGACAAAGGCCAAAGTTAGGACTATAGTTTAGATTTTTCCCAAGGTAAATGGGAATCTCCATGCATTTGCAGAGGAATTCAGTATTGTAACTCAAACTTACCAACCTGCCCTTCCATCTCTTATCAGTTAGCCTACCTGCTTGTCAGAGAAGGTCATGCTCAACAATAGATCTCCTGTTTGGGGGGGCCCCTGGTTGGCTCAGTGGGTTAAGCCTCTGCCTTCCGCTCAAGTCATGATCTCAGGGTCCTGGGATCAAATGCCACAAGAGAGTGGGGTTCCCCCTCTCTCTCTGCCTGCCTCTCTGCCTACCTGTGATCCCTCTCTCTCTGTCAAATAAATAAATAAAATCTTAAACAGCAACAACAAACAAACAAACAAACAGTTTGGGGAAATCTCAAGTTCCAGGCTTTGTGCGGGGGGTGCTTGCCTTTTTTTTTTTTTTTTTTTTAAGATTTTTAAAATGTACTTCTTTGCCAGAGAACACAAGCAGGGGGAGTGGCAGGCAGAGTGAGAGAGGAAAAGCAGACTCCCCACTGAACAGGGAGCCCAAGGCAGGCCTCAATCCCACAACTCTGGCATCATGACCTGAGCCAGAGGCATATGCTTAACCCACTGAGCCACCCAGGTCCTCCAACAATCTATAAGATTTAAATTAAACCAATCACTGCCCTTTTATATGATCAAGTTTGTGGTATGGTCAAAGGCTACATGAAGCCATCCCTAGGGCCTTCCTTAAACCTTAAACCAGAGCAAAATTCAAGCATACGTTCAAAAGCCTACTAAATCTGTCTATGACTAATAAAGCAGACTCCAAGTCATTTTTAAAAATTCTGGACTTTCCATAGATGTTGAAGCCACTCGGGTGGCTTTTATTTATTTTTTTTAAAGATTGATTTATTTATTATAGGAGGGAGAGAGAGAGTGCCTACCCACATGTGAGAAGGAGGAGGGAGAGGGAGAGGGAGAGACAGAATCTCAAGCAGACATAGCTTAGAGCAGAAGCCCGACCTGGGGCTTGATCTCATGACCCTGAAATCATGACCTGAGCAGAATCCAAGTTGGATGCTTCACTGAGCCACCCGCCACTGAGGCACCTGCCGCTCAGGCAGCTTATAATTCCATGTTCATAAATGGCCTAAACAGAGACTTCTCCCTGTTGGTCGAAAGAACCCATATAAAATGGGAGACAATGTGCACCCCTGACTTGGTCAGTTTGGATAATCTGTTAGCTTGCGCCATAGAAACATGACACCAGAAAAAAGATAACTAAGATTTTGAATATTTACCTTTAACAGATGGGAAATCCAAATCCATCTTACTGGACTATATCATAATTGCAAAACTCCTGGCTATTAGAAATGGATTGCTAGAAATTGATGTAGGAGCTACACTATCAGTGCTCAACCCCCCTACAGTTAAAGAGTCTCTTCATCTAAGTAATACATATATTCAAATAGTGGGGTGGGTGTGGGTGTGCGTCTTCAAAAAACCACAACATGTGCCTATTTCTCAGCCCATATATTTGTCAGACCTTTGCAAGTGAGCTACTCATTTGTCCTCAATGATTTAGTTCCTATGTATTTCTTAGGATAAAATTTCCTGGAGAAATCTAATGTTGCCATTTTTTCTGTCAAAAAGGAAATGACCGTTTAAAAAATATTTTTAATTTTTAATTTTTATATTTTTATATATTTTTAATTTTTATATATTTTTATATTTAATTTAATTTAATTTTATTAACATATAATTTATTTAGTTCCCATATATTTCTTTGAATAAAATTTCCTGGAGAAATCTAATGTTGCCTTTTTTTTCTGTCAAAAGGGAAATAACCCTTTTTCTAATATTATTTTATTTTATTAACATATAATGTATTTGCCCCAGGGGTACAGGTCTGTGAATCATTAGGCTTATACATTTGACAGCACTCACCATAGCACATACCCTCCCCAATGTCCATAATCCAGCCACCCTAGCCCTACCCCCCACCCCCCAGCAACCCTCAGTTTATTTATAACCCTTTTTTTTAAAGAGGATTTTTAAATTTTATTTTGTTTATTTATTTGACAGCACAAATAGGGGGAGCAGTAGGCAGAGGGAGAGGGAGAAACAGGCTCCCCACTGAGCGGGAAGCCCAATGCAGGGCTTGATCCCAGAACCCTATGATCATGACCTGACCCAAAAGCAGATGCTTAACTGACTGAGCCTCCCAGGGGTCCCAAAAAGGGAACTAACCCTTGAGTTTGAATCTAACACTTAGGAAAATTCAATCCCCTTTGTCTTTACTTGTACTCTACAAACCAAGGATGTCTAAACTTTGGATTCATTCCCATTATTAAACCTAGTAACCTCAACTCCGGGCAAGATCCTCAACAGATGTAGACAGAATTTATAGTGCCCCTCCCATTAAGATCTAGATTGACCCCTCAAAAAAATTCTCCCAAGGGAAAACAAAAAACAGCACCCTATAAATAAACCCTACAGGACATAAGACTTATATAGAGGACTATAAGGCTCAAGGACTCCTTATCTCTTGTACTAGTCCTTCTAATACCCTATTTTGTACATAAAAAATCCAATGGCTGAGAATAGATTTGTCTAAGATCTAGAGTAATAAATAACAACTTAATTTCTTGCTATTATCCAGTCATCCTTAATCCCCACATGCTATTGGTATCTGTGCCAACTGAAAGCAATTATTTTACTCTGGCTGACAGAGTGGATTTTCTTAAGATCCTTTTTGATAAGGATAGTATCTTTTTGCCTTTACCTGGGAAGGACAATAACAGACAGTTGTGCCTCAGGGCTTTACTGAGAGGCTTCTCAACAAGTTTTAAAGGCTGACCTAAATGACATAAAATTGTCTGGAGGCTGTGTTACTGTAATATGTGGCTGATTTGCTTCTTTGCTTGCCCTCCCAAGGCTTCTCACAAAAAGAGTGTTTACCCGTTAAAATCTTAGCTGTTAAAGGGCATAGGGTCTCCAGAGAAAAATTGCTATTTATCCAAACCAAAGTTCAATATTTAGGACATGCATTCATTCATTCATTTATATTTTTTTATTTATTAAGATTTTATTTGTTTATTTGAGAGAGAGCAAGAGCGAGCACAAGCAGGGGGTAGTAGTAGCGGGAGAGGCAGGCTTTCTGTGAGCAGGGAGCCCAATGCAGGACTTGATCCCAGGACCCTGGGATCATGACCTGAGCCAAAGGCAGACACTTAATGACTGAGCCACCCAGGCGCCCCTATTTAGGACATTTAATCTCAGCACAGGGACGACACCTAGATCCTGATAAGCTTCAAGGCATTTTGAACTTTCCAAACCCTAAAACCAAATGTTACTTAATGGGGTTTTCTTGGGCTGGCTGGTTATTGTACTTGGATCCCAAATTTCTCCTTAATGGTTTAGCCCCTGTATTCCACATATAGCCTGTTGTTTGGGATAACCAAGATGGTTTGGTCTTCAAGACCCTGCAGGAAAGCTTAATAAATCCATCTCCCCTGGGACACCCAAATTATCAGCTACCCTTTTCCTTTTTGTAGGGAAGGGAATATCCTCAGAGTACTTACCCAAAAGCATGGGGTCTATCACTGACCTCTAAGTTACTACAGCCAAAAATTAGATCTAGCAGCCTGAAGATGCCTCCCCCCACCAATACCTTACAGCTATACCTCTACTGCTGCTTCAGTAAGACTACAGAAGAGCTTGTTCTGGAATCCTCTTTGACCATCTTTGTACCCATCCTGTCAGGGCACTCACATTCACAACTACCTTAAAATAATATGATTCTTAACACCTTTCAGCCAGCTATCTAACCTTTTGTGAAATTCTCATATGAACTGTCCCTTATATCACTCTCTTTTTAAAAAAGATTTTATTTATTTATTTATTTAACAGACAGAGATCTCAATCAAGTAGGCGGAGAGGCAGGTAGAGAGAGAAAGGAGGAAGCAGGCTTCCTGCTGAGCAGAGAGCCCAACTCAGGGCTCCATCACAGGGATCATGACCTGAGCCGAAGGCAGAGGCTTTAACCCACTGAGCCACCCAGGCGCCCCAACCTCATATCA